AAATTGTAGAGCTGATCCCAAGGATCATAGAATCCCAAATCCTGAAATATAGAGAATAGAACTGTAAACTTGAGTGAGTGACTTGCCCAAAATCAAATAGGAAGCCAATGGCCACAATAAGACCCTGATACAAGACTCCCAATCTCAATGTTAATTCCTTTTCAATTACCTCAGGTGATTTAAGCTTTCTAGGGAAAACACAAGTAAATATTTTCCTCCACTTAAGAAAAAATTAAATTAATAGGATGAAAATAGGACTTCCAATTATTTTGATGCCATGTATATACAGTATTAATAGTGTTTCAGGCAAAAGTACACTTGCAAAGAAATGCATATTCATTTTTGATATTTGAGCACAAATTCTCTTAATATTAATAATGATTCACTGACCTGATATAAAATTACTGACTAAAATCAAACCCAGGAAGGACAGTCGGCTACCAGTATTGCTTTGTTTCATCCTATTCAAAGACTCCCATAAATGCTAAATCTATATCTATTCATAGAACAATGAACTGCCAGCTTCTGCTCTAATGTACCACATTATCTGCATTGACCGGATCGCTACAGAATCTTGGCAAGGATGCCTTCTGTTAGGAAACTAATTCATTGCAATCAGACACATATTTATGCTTTATTTATGTCTATTGGACAAAAGATTATTAAGCAGAATGGATTAAGATTACATTAAAAGGTCTGACAGAAGGCAGAACTGCAGAGTGAAGACTTTGCCATCCCTTTACTTCGACCCATCACAGCTCGCTGTGTTGAAGCCTGTGTAGACACAGCCTGCTAGTTCAGAAATCACGTTGTTTATTGGGCAGGAGCAGAGGGTTAAAGACTTAGGGAAATCTTGCCCTCCTTCTGAACAGGATAACAAACAACTTTGTTTTGTTTTGTTTCAACACATCTGTAGTGCTACTGCTGTTCTAAATCTTCCTGTGCCTTGAGGGGCCTGGAGGTAACCTACTGCTGGTGTGGCACCTGGCCTGATTTGCATTGACTCCTGGTGACCTCCCTGCAGGCAAAGCCCTGAGGACACCCTCCTGGAAGTACAGGTAGAATTTCAAACACAGGTCCTGTTTGTATGATATTTTTAAATTGGCAGAGTTAGGAGCGAGAAAAGCAAAAATTATTTCTAACATGATTCATTTTCTCCCAGAGCACCCCAAGAGTCTCCAGAAAATTTTAGCAACACTCCCACTGCATTTGTATCATTTAGATTTATTTTACTTGGAATAAAGTCATTTCTTTCCAACCCACATGTCCGAGGCATTCTCATTATCCTCAGAACAGTCACATGACAGATGGTAATGCTTCTTCTGTGCCGAAGAATGTCAATTATCACCTTGTGGGGAGATTTTACATTGTGGTCAAAACCTGACTAAAGAATGGTATCAGTCTTTTAAACATGGAAAAAGGCTTGCTCCTTGCCACATTATTTCATCTAAAGAACCACTACTCACAATTAAGAGTAATGTAGAAGTATGTGGGTGTATCTGAGATATGGGGGGAAATATAGTTAAATTTCCTCTGATATCGGTGTGTATGGTGGGATGCATTATTTTGTAGTTGTGGCTGCTATTGTTTTTATATGTTTGAGTGGGTAGTTATTTGGGGAGTTTTTCCTCCCTGAAATGTATGCAAAACTATGCCTGTAAATGCAAGATATTTTAGATGAGAGCTATTTTAACAAAGCACATACAGAATCTTCTTTTCCCCCCTGAAGATATCAAATCTCTAATAAGAACCCCAACAAATGTCTTTGGGATTGTACAGGACAAGACTTGCTGCTTTCATTTTATGGATGGTAGAGTTACAATAAATTGTAATCACTAAATGAATGCTTATTGAAATAAGCATTAGAGGCAAATCTAAACTGTGAATTTCACTTGAGTTCAAAAACAATATAAAAATAACTTGCTTGGCTTTGGGTAAATATATGAACTGAATTATCCCTTAGTCTTAATAGAAACTTCACCATTCACTCACCTATTTGAAAAAAACTCAGATAATTCTGCAAGTATATTCTGCTTAAATCAGAATATTCCCGATTTAAGTTGAATAATTTAGTTCAAAGAAAATTTCTTGAGCATTCTACTGAGCTCTAATGATACAGAGATGAATAAGATCAAGATGGGTATGTAACTCACTTTAACATAAATCAAGTGCCATGTAAGCAAAATGTTATAGGATCAGAGATGATAGAATGGTCAGGAAAGTTTTCATATGAAAAACAAGATTTTAGCTGCATCTTAAAAAGTAAGTGTAGTTTCAAACTGTGTATGGGAGTTTCACATTTTTTTACAAATGTTATTGCTGAGGGTGGGTATGAAATGGTTTATACCCACCTGGCCTTTCCTTCATTACTAATAATTAAGTCTATTTGCTTATGTTATTGGTCATTCAAGATAACCCCCTCTGTGAATTATCAGTGCACTTTCTTTGCTATTTTTTTTTCTGTTTGGTTGCTAAATTTTGTTTTTATTTTTAAAAAATGTTTATTATACATTTGGTGTACTGATCCTTTGTTGATCATATATGTTGCAAATATCTTCTCCCAGTGTTTTGCTTTTCATTTCCATTAATTTTGGTGTCTTTTTATATAGTTTTAATTTATAATGAGGTCAAATTTATTTCTTTTCCTTCACAGTTTTTATGTTTGTGAATTTTAAAGCAAATCCTGCTTTACATGAGGTCATAAAGAAATTATTCTAAATGTTTTAAACAAGTAAGTGTGGCTTCACTAGGTGGAGGTACTATTTTAAGTAGTGGTAAGAGCATAAAGGTTTAAAAGTTTATGGCATATATGAAAATCTTTGGAAAAGGCAGGGGTTTCTAATGTGATATAAGAGATATGCAAATGAGAAGCCAGAACATTAGCTGAGCAATTGTGAAGAGTTTTGGTTTCATTCTATAAGCAAGAAGGAGTTATCAAAGGTGTTGCTGTGTATTCCTGGGTTTATTTGCTTTACACAAAGGTGTTATATAATATAGTTACAGTAAAAAAAAATAGCCTTAAGACTATTGTCTTAAGATAAATTTGAGATAAGAAACATTGGGTTGGAATGGCCAGTTAAAAGGAGCTTTACAATATTCTAGAATGGATAAGGGCCTGGACTAGAGGAGTTGTTGCATAAACAAAGAAAAAGACAAGATTAGAAAGTAAAATAGAGAAAACTGAAACTAATTAGATGTGGATATGAGAGAGAAGAATCACACATTTTAAAAAAGGTTTATATCGGGGGCAACTTAAGAAAGTTAACCAAAAGTGTTATTGTAGAAACAGTATTCAGAGAAGTTGACGTGTTTGGTTTGGGGTATCTGATTTCCAGAGACCTGAGGCAGAAAACTTGTGACAAGTTTAACTACATATTGGTTTGCCCCTATGAGAGTATTCAGAGTCAGAGATTCAGATTTGGGGTCATAACTTTAGTGATAATGAAGGGATGGGAGTGGATGAGGTCCTCAGAGGGAGAGGTGAAATAAGTCACCACCAACAGCAGCTGGGCTGAGGAGCAGCGGGTTCCTAACCACTGAATCAGGTCAATACTTCCTAGCAGCCCTGGCATGCTGTCTCCTCAGGCCACTTCTGACTTCTCATCCCATTTCTTAGGCAAATCCCTGCAGATGGTGTGACATGTAGTTTTTAGTAAAAACATCATGTCCTAATGAAGTTCACATCAATAAACTGAGAATAAGAATAGAAGGTAGAATATCTCCCTTAGCAATTTGGTTCAATTTTATCTGTAAAAAATTATATTCATATATGCTCTGTTAGCATTGAAATAGCCACACAAAATTTTTGCTTTTTATGAACTTTGATAATCAAATTATAGATAATATTTTTATTACAAATAAATAAAACCATTTCAGATTTTTAAACAGACAGTGATATCTTAAGGCCAATATTGACTAAATATTCTTCCTTCAACATATATTGCAGATGGTCCTCAAATCTGATGGGAAAAGAGTCCATATAATTAACTCTTTGGTGCCATTTTCTTGTGTTCACTGTTGATAACATTTGCAGAATCAGATTACCACTTTGGTTTAGCACAGCTATTTTCAACCCTTTTCATCTCAAAGCACACTACTAAAATTCTGTGGCATACCAAAAAATATATATTTTTTGCCAATATGACAAAAAATAGGTATCATTTTGATTCATTCATATTGGATGACTACTGTTGTGTTGGCTGTTGTCATTTTTTAATTTGACAATCTAAGGGAAAAGATGTCAGTGTCCCTGACTAAATAGTCAGGTATGGCATGTTTTAAAAATTCATGCAGCACACTGGTTGAAAATTGCTGGTTTAGCATATTACCCTACTAAAGAAGCTCAACTACTAGTATATTAGATTATAGTTCTTCTTGGTTCAGAAAATATTCAGTATAGATATTAACTTCAAAATTTATTTTCCCAGATATCTAGATGAAAATTTAGGGAAAATAATTAGTATTTAAAAATTAAGCAATATTTAAGTCAATTTAATATTTAATTATTAGTGACTCATATATAACTGTTCCTTGCAGTAGTTTTACACATTGTAGTTAGCAGACTAAATACTATCTCACCTTTGTGGGGGAATAGGAAAGCAAGGAGTTGATGCATGAGTAGAAAAATGGGGGGGTGAGGGGGCAGGGAAGGGGGTCAGGGAAGCCCGACCAGTGTGGTTCAGTGGTTGAATGTCTTCCTATGAACCAGGAGGTCCTGGATTGCAGTCTCAATCCCCAGTAGGGGAAATGCAGGAGGCAGCCAATGAATGATTCTCTCTCATTACTGATGTTTCTATCTCTCTCCCCCTCTTCCTTCCTCTCTGAAATCAATAAAAAATATTTTTTTAAAAAAGTGAACTGGAAAAAGAATGTAGAAACTTAAGTGGTTTGTGATATGTGTTACAAGAGAGACAGAAAAGCTTCCTATAGCATTACTTCTAATCAGAAAATTATAATCCAGAATAAGGGCTAGTATAAACAAAGTCAGAAAGACAAAAGACATGGTAAGAGACAGCATAAAATTTGTTGTAGATGAGGCTTTTAGTGCCGCCGTCATGGTTCGTACTCTCAACTGCATCGCCGCTGTGTCCCAGAACATGGGCATTGGCAAGAACGGAGACCTGCCTTGGCCCCCGCTCAGGAATGAATTCAAGTATTTCCAAAGAATGACCACAACCTCTTCAGCAAAAGGTAACAGGGGATTTTTAAGTGATCGAGATTTCCCAAGGGTCTTTTTTTTACCTGTGCAAATTTTACTTAAAAGTAGTTTTCCATGTTAAGCAGGACCTTCTGTCTTACCATTGATCTGTATGCAATTCCCAATGTTTATTAAACTTTTTAAAAAATAAAAAAAAATTTGTTGTAGAAACAAGAAATAAATATTTAAAAATCCTACAAAAGTTTTTGTCAAAATATATCCCCATGGGTGCTGATAGACACATGACAAAATGTTTTCTAGGTACACTAGCTTAGGGAAATCTTGATTTAAACAATTTTATTCACAGTGGCCTTTCATGGCACTTACTATGCTCCTGAGTAATAAAATCTCTGAGGCTAAGAGGATACTCCCTTTCTCACAATGGGCGTAGCAACCACTGTTGGTGGTGCACCTAGAACCCACACTGACTTTTGAAGAATCAACCTCAAGTTACTAAAATGCTTTGCCAGCAAAGACAGTGAAGTTCCTGAGAGTTTAGGTTCACTCCCCTTCCTTTCCACTCCCCGCTCCCATGACTGATTCCTGCCAGAGTATGAAAACCTACTCCTTTGCTGGTAATAGCAGGAAGGGCAAAGAGGAATTTATACTCCGGAGCTCCCCTGTGTCTGGCTAAGGCTGTGCCTGCCAGATAGTACACCCTCGCTGTGATTCTTCCCCTTCTCTCTCTTTCTCCTCTTCTCCCTTACTGGACTTTCCTGGGAGTTCTTCCTTAATACATCACATGTACATAAATCTTTGTCTCAGGAGGTTCTGGGAAGAAGGCTGAAAAGATAACCAGGATCATGCCATGGAGGGTCCTAAATGACAGACCAAGGTTTCCAACTGAAATTCCTTGTTGTCTGCCAGGTATTGGCATAGTTCAGACATTGTCCTTTTTGGCAGGTCAAATTCTAAACAGAAGTAGGCATTCCCCTAACATTTGTGGGGTTTGAGGCAAGTGTATAAGAACATAACTGAAGCTAAAACCTTTTATATGTAGTATACTTATTCTCCTATCTTTTCCATAGTTATTCAATACTGCAAAGTTGTCCATATTTGCTAATTTATGCTACCTCCAGAATGACAAATCGAAATACAAATAGAAGCACACACAAAAAAAATGGATGCTTGACACAACTGGGAAACAATACTTTGATATGTAAGATGTTTTTCCCATACCTTAGATAACCCACACTTAAATCCTTGAGCAGTGATATCACAAACAACCCTTCCTATCACTTCAATAGTCACTTTTTATTTACAAACAAAATACAAATAAAAAGAGCAAAAATGTGGAGAAGTATGTCCTTGGGGCCTGACTTACATTCATCATGAAATTAGATGCTTACGGACATCTAAACAGCTGTGCCAAGCACCCAGCCCTAGGAGCCGATGTGCCCATGTTCCTTACTAAATTGTGTATGTGTTTGTGTCTAATCTATGAGGTCTTCTAAAATATAGGGCTAGGGCCTCACTTTCCTGGGTCTGAGGGCTACACTAACCAGGAAAATGCTGTTTCAACTTTATTTTATGAGCAACATGTTGATAGAAAAATCTGTTGAAATGATTCTTCTTAAAAAGTAAAAGTGGAACCCATAAATAAAAACTAGATAGTGTTTTAAAATAAGTATAAATTGATATACATGGTTTTGTAAGTTAAAATGTATTTACCAACTTTATCTGTTTCACATGAAAAATATATTGAAATACATTCCAGAGTATATAAGCCACACAATTTTTGATTAAGCTATATTTACACATTGCAAACAACACAAGAATGGAGATGTTTTCCTTTGTCTTCTATGAATTCATTATAGTAGACACCACATAATACCAGTAGACTATTATTTACTTAGTGGTACTTAAAAACAGATTGCAAGAATATTCTTCAAGAGGTATTTATAATGAAGAATAGTCCAATTCAGTAATGTACAAGAAAGTTAAGCTAGTGCCCTTAAAGGGCATGTTTTCTTCTAGTAAAGAACATCATTTCAAGTAACATAGAGTACAATTTACATGTTCTTTCCCAAAGTATAATCTAGGTAACAGAGTGGGATATAATAAGGAGTTTGGAGTCACAAGCTATTGTTCCAAGAAAGTCAGTGAGGCATTTCACTCTGACACTAACCCAGACACATAATCTCTCCTGTTTGGCAGGACAACCTTGCACATGCATGTATTGTTACTACTATAAGATTGAAGAGTAATAGCAAACACAAAACCTGTTTGTTGAAGAATGAATGATCAAATCACTTTATTTGGACCCCTGGGTCCTGAATTATAGAATAAGGAGACTTACACTACTACTGGATGATCTGTTGTGTTTGTGTACATTTACTACAGGGTTTAGGATAACTCATTAAAAGTAATAACTCATTATACTATCCATTCTAACATTTGGAGGTAGTGTGTGTATTTCTTTCTGTTTTCTAAACCAGCAGGTATTGAGACCCTAAATAAACCACCTGCAGTGGTTAATGATAACTTGAGTGGGATGTGATAATAAAATTCTAGGTAATTAATCTGTATTTCCTTTTCTATTTCTCAAAGTTTTGTTACACTGCAATGCATTTACACTCCTGATTCAGAACTTCCAGCTCTACTTCTACTGTGAAGAAAAAAAAAAGTGCACAAACTATCTTGGGATTTTTCAAAACACTCTGCATCTTGTGCCTGCACCTTGTGGAACTTGCATGGAAAAGCATGAGTAAGTTCTCTCAAGTTTTAAAGAAACTTGCATATGCTTGAGAAGAAATGAGCCACAAATTTCAGAACTTCCCAGCATGCAGTCTTGCCCAGTCTTGGCTCTTAATTCCTTCTAAACTCTTTCCTTTTCTGATATAAAAGCCATGTGCTGGTTTCATTAATGGCCAAACAAAGTTTTCCCACAACTTTACAATAGTTTGCATTGGCTTCAAACAAGACTGCCTATGTCAGAGTAGAGCTTAAAAAATGTTTTGTTGATATGACTCAAGCCCAGGCACCATTAATCATTTTCCTTTCATTGTGTTTTTTAAAACTCATAACATAGCTTTGCCTAAAGTCGGAAATATTTTTTATAATAACTTAGAATTTTCTCTAACCTAATTTACCATTAGGTTTAAAATGAATTATGGAGCCATTTTAATAGTAGGTAAATGACCTGAGAAATCCAAAGCAATTGCTTACATATGGACTGTCTTACACCACAAGACAGCAATACCTATGGTTGGCAGAATAATTGGTAATTATGGTTTTTAAGGAATGTATCCTTGCCATTCAGTTGAAAGATGGAAATTTAGAAGAGTAAATTTTAGATAATCATTTAAGAATAAATAGAGTAATAAAACTTAATATAGTACTTATATATTGGAAAATGTAAAATATATTTTAACAACACAAATTATTTTGTTATTGATGTGATTCTCTCAAACTATAAATTTTGTCACATTTGCCATAAACTCACAAGTCTGTCACATTTATCTGTGACTGACAAAGAGCCCTTGATTTAGGCCATAGATAACCTCTGTTTCTACCTTAGTAGTTTTATTTTTGTTTGTCTTGTCTTTCCAATCACATTTTTGAGATATTAAAGGACACTAAAATAACTTTGCCATCTCAATATATTTTATAGTGGTAGGTATTTATTAAATGTGAACTGATTCCAAAGTTGAAAATTTATTTAAATATTTGAGATAACGTATTTAAACTAAAACGAAGTATAAGCAAAAAATAAAAGACAAAACAAAAAATAACTTAACTAAGGAGGCAAAATACCTGTACTCAGAAAACTATAGGATGTTGAAAAAAGATATAGAGGAAGACATAAACAAATGGAGGCATTTACCATGTTCATGGATTGGTAGAATCAACATCATTAAAATGTCTATACTACCCAAAGCAATCTATAGATTCAATGCAATCTCCATTAAAATACCAATGGCATTTTTCACAGACCTAGAACAAACTCTTGCGAACTGCATATGGAATAAAAAAAGACCCTGAATGGCCATAGCAATCCTGAGAAAGAAGAACAAAGTAGGAGGGATCACAATACCAGATATCAAACTATATTACAAAGCCACTGTTCTCAAAACTGCATGGTACTTGCTCAAGAACAGACATATAGACCAATAGAACAGAATAGAGAACCCAGAAATTGACCCAAGCCACTATGTTCAATTAATATTTGACAAGGGAGGCAAGAGCATACAATGGAATCAAGACAGTCTCTTCAATAAATGGTGTTGAGAAATTGGATAGATACATGCAAAAAAAAAAATGAAACTAGACCACCAACTTACAGTATACACAAAAATAAACTCAAAATGGATAAAGGACTTAAAGTAATGTGGGAAACCATAAAAATCTTATAAGAAGCCATAGGCAGCAAAATATCAGACATATATCATAGCAATATAGTTACCAATACAGCTCCTAGGGCAATGGAAACTAAGGAGAAAATAAACAAATGGGACTACATTAAAATAAAAAGCTTCTGCACAGCAAAAGAAACCATCAGCAAAACAACAAGAAAGCCTCCTGCATGGGAGAACATATTTACCAATGTTATATCTGATAAGGGTTTAATCTCCAAAATTTATAGGGAAGTCATACAACTTAACAAAAAATTGGTCAAAGGACCTAAATAGACACTTTTCAAAAGAGGACATACAGAAGGCCAAGAGATATATGAAAACATGCTCAAAGTCACTAGTCATCTGAGAGAGGCAAAACCAAACGACAATGAGATACAATCTCACACCTGTCAAAATGGCCATCATCAATAAATCAACAAACCAGTGTTGGGGAAGATGTGGAGAAAAGGGAACCCTTGTGCACTGTTGGTGGGTATGCAGATTGGTGCAGCCACTGTGGAAGCAGTTGGAGTTACCTCAAACAATTAAAAATGGAGCTGCCTTATGACCCAGTGATTCCACTTCTGGGAATTTATTCAAAGAATCCTGAAACACTAATTCTAAATAATATATGTTTCCCTGTGTTCATTGCAGCATTATTTACAACAGCCAAGATCTGGAAATAGCCTGACTGTCCATCAGTGGTTGAATGGATAAAAAAAGAGAAAGCTGTGGTACGTTTATTTACACAATGGAATACTACTCTACTGCAAAAAGGAAGAAAATTTTACCCTTTGTGGCAGCATGGATGGCCCTGGAGAACATTATGCTTAGTGAAATAAACCAGTCAGAGAAAGACAAGAACCATATGATTTCACTCATATGTGGAATTTAATGCACAAACTGAACCACCAAGCAAAATAGACACAGACTCATAGATAGAGAGCAGGTAGACAGCTGGGTGGGTTGGAGGAGGTTTGGAAGAGCAGAGATATTGAACAAGAAAAAAAAGAGAGAGAACTCATGGACATGTACACACAGGGTGGAGGGAAATGGGTGGAGGTGGTAGAGGGCATAGACAGGATAAAAGGTGATGGGAAAAATAAAATAAAATTTAAAAAACCTTATTGCACAATTAGACCCTTTTAGAAGATAGGTTATGAGATCTTAGTGATTTTATTTTCCTATACTTTAAAACATTTTGCTAGCTTAGCAGCCTAGTAATTATTTCATTATTGCTCATCAATTATTCTCAGCTATGCTTAAGACTAAAATAAAAAGAAAACAGAAGAGTTACAGAACCAACTAGAAACATAATGCCACAGATTAATCAATCATTTCCGTATTCCTTTTGCATTAACCAAAATATAGCATTATCTTTTAAAAAGACATGAAAATAACCAGAGACATCCATCTTTGTGTTTTTTACTTTCCTTGAACACAGTTAAAAATTCAGAATTTGTCATGTTCTGCCAATAGCAAAGAGAAGAACATTTATAGAGGAAAGCATATCACAGTTATTAGATAAATCAGAAGATGGATGTCTAAATAAATAGCACTCTGGACTATAATGGTAATGGTGAAATCTCAGAATATGTATTTAGATTATAATATTCTCAATGAAAAAATATATTTCTAAAGACTAAGATAATTTCTAAATTATTGTAATCTAATTAGTCATTTAACAGACAGGATTTGATAATCTAACACAAAAATATGGATTATTTGACTTAGCCAAGAAGATGTATGACAATATGCTTTAATCAGCTCTGATGTTTGAATGCCAAAATTTATTTGACACAATAGGTTTATTTTATTTAAATTCTTATTTAAATCTCTAGTAATTTTTTTACTATCCCTCTATTCTTATTTCAGTAATTTTTTCATAAAATAACAGATATAAGTAAATAAGAAGAGTCAATTGGCCACCAATGGTACATTATGATGACTCTTTCCTCTTTATATATAGTAGGTTAAGGACATTTATACTAAAAATATACATAAGTACTCAAGATTTTAAGAAGAAGGCTAGTGTGTTTTTTTTTTTAAAGTGATAAGCAGGTTTTGTTTTTGGGGGAAAGAAATTGAGCGAGTTGATATTTTAATATGATTACATGTTGCAAAGCTAAGAATTATAGAATGGGAGGAAAGCTGATTTAAATATATTTTGTGAAGAATGAAAAAAAGAGCTAATATTGAGTAGGGGAATATTTTTTAAAAAAGGTGGAAATAAATCTGATCTTTTATTTGACGTATTAGTTATAACAGAACTATAATAAATTCCTTATGATTTTGTTATTTCAAGTGGAATATACAGATGACCCTGGATATTTATCTAGTGAGCAAATCCATCCTATATAATAAAAGCCTAATATGCAAATAGACCAAACAGCAGAACAACCAGTCTTGGGGGGGGGGGGGGCGGACAGGGCCAGCAAGCTGGCAGTGCCAGGCCAGACAAGGTTGGTGTCAGCAGGCAGAGGGAGGAGATGGCAATTGGAGGGCAGTGGTGACCGGTAGTGGGGCACTGGGGGGCAGGGCCAGAGCTGCCCCTGGTGGTCAGTGCGCTCCCACAGGGATGTCCATGGGGAGGGGGCCTAAGCCGTCAGTCGGACATCTCCCAAGGGCTCCTGGACTGTGAGAGGGAGCAGGCCAGGCTGAGGGACCCTCTCCCCACCCCGCTGAGTGCATGAGTTTTCGTGCACCAGGCCTCTAGGTTCATATATACAAGGATCTTATCACAGAAGAAATTCTTGAAGTTGAGAGCAGTAGCTTTAAAAAGATTTGGCAGTGGTAGAGCTGGCTAGAGATGGCTTGTACAACTTGTGAGAGGAATTGTTAAACTTTCAGAAATTTTTCAGTTGGTTGCTAAATAGCTAATATTAAAAGTTAAATTACACGAATGAATTATATTTTAAGCAAAGGTAAAAAATGCACTACTTTCTAATTATATGACATTTTCCTATTATCTATGCTCTTGAGGTTATTTACATCTATTGTATGTGTATGGTGCACATGTCAATTATGTGCTCTTCCCAATTCCTCACTCAGTGGCATCAAGTTGGTAGTTTGAAATTTTACTTTTATTATAGACTATTGGTAAAATTTCAGAATTATGTGATAAGGTAATCCCATTAGAATGAAATCTTTATAAGGAAAGAGAATTCACATTACAATTAAATTGCTTTGTAGTAGATTGTGTTTAGACTTACTGGTAAAAAATGAGGCCTTCTATAAGTGGTGATTGAAAATAAAAGCCTAGGAGTATCTGCATTTCACTTGATTACTATTAAAGAGCCAATAGGCTGTTTTCTTTTCATTAAGAGAGGTAATGTTCCTGAGGAATTAATGAGTTTCTCCATCAGCTCTTGGGA